TGTGATGTGTATTTGTTTATATGCTTCCAGTTTACTGTGTTATGCTTTCAAACACACTCACACAAACACACACACACAAACACACTGTGTTGGCCCTGGGGAAGGTGAATATTTGGGCTATAAGAGTAAAGAAGAGAACACTTCTGAAAGTGCACTCAAATTCACCAGGGAATTCAGCAACACTTGCACATTATATCCTACTGGATTTCACTACACCTCTCTCTCACACACACACACACTAAAACACATTTTCTCTCACCCTTCATGTTGTCTTTTTAAAACTTTATCAGCTCGAGAGGACGACTGAATAAATTCAGCTGGCGCTTTTATCCCAAGAAGCTTACAATAACTGCAATAGACCATGAAGATACAAACTCGAAAATGTGCAACATTTGCTTCAAATGAGCCAAACCATTGTAAGCGCTGGTGCATATTCCCATTGGCCATCTTATACAGTGTGTGATGCAGTATACAGCTTTGTTCCATGTATATGCTACCACTTAAACACAAACAATTAACATTAACACGTTCAAAAGTTGTTGATTAGTTTACTTCAAATCTAAAATGCAACTCCATGACGGTGTCACAGTATGGTGGGGGATCACCGAAAGGAGTATAATCGTACTCTGGGACCATCTTTGTTTGTAGAAAATGTCATGGCAATATATCCAATATTTCAGCCTGGATCAAAGTGGAGGACCAACCAACATTTTTCTCTCCCAAAGACTACTGAACAGTTGACTTATTTATTCTAAAACAATCCAAAATATGGCATGTACCACTTCTCAAATACATATTATCCCCATATACTTTATGTGATTCATATCAATGCTAAAGGGGCCCTATTATGCTCTTTGGGGTTTTCCATTTCCTGTGTGTTATATAGGTATGTGTGCATGTAAAGGGTCTGTAAAGGCTTACATCTCTGTGTTCCTCCAGAGATGGCTGAAACACCTTCAGTGGACTCCTTTTTTTTACTTATGTAACTCAATGACATCACTATGTAACACTCCTGCTTCTATTGGCTAGCTCTTCAATACATAGTGACACGTGATAGGCTAAGGGATCTCTAAGCGGTTGGCTAATCCCAACAGAGCCGGCCAGCTAACCAATCAGATCAGACTGGGCTCTGGTTTCAGACAGAGGGTGAAAAGAGGTGCTGCAGCACAGGCAGTATGAGAAAAATAAAGAGCTTTTTGAACATTAAAGCAAGGAGACATGTCCCAGTGGAGACACTAATTACAAATATGAACATGAAAATGAGCAAAACTGTCGTCTTTAATATTATAATGCAGTTCCTTTATTCTATAAAATTCAAGATACAATTATTGACAGAAAATATTCCTTATATATAATCAAGTACCATTTTTGATCAAGGCAGCTGATATAAACAACTCACATAAAACTCACGCTGAAAGGAAACACAGCCGACAGACTCATTAATAGTCGGTACAAGAGCAGAGCACAGGATCATCAGTACCATTTTGGGCACATTGAACACACACACACACACACACACACACACACACACACACACACACACACACACACACACACACACACACACACACACACACACACACACACACACACACACACACACACACACACACACACACACACACACACACACACACACACACACACACACACACACACACACACACACACACACACACACACACCACACACACACACACACACACACACAACACAGTATAGTGGAACATTGATGCAACGAATGTCAGGAAGACAGACAGCATCATTATTGTTTCCGTCTTCTGCCTCCATCCAACAAATCTATTAGAGAACATCCCACACTGAGAAAGAGCAGTGTTTGTAAGGCAATCTGACAAATGGACTCCAGCAGGAATGACTCATCAGTACAGAAAGTACAAAGAGCCTCTGATGCACAGACGGCATCTTTGTGCCAACTTCACTTATGTTATATTTTTGCCTCTCTGTGTGCGTGTGGCATGTGTAATGAGCTGATGGAGCTTGGTGATTTCCTGTCTGGCCTGTAAAAGCAGCATGAGCCTCTTCCTGTATCCTCTCTGTAGAATCCCACCTGGGGCTGCACACACACACACACACACACACACACACACACACACACACACACACACACACACACACACACACACACACACACACACACACACACACACACACACACACACACACACACACACACACACACACACACACACACACACACACACACACACACACACACACACACACACACACACACACACACACACCAGCATCACACACACTGTCTGGTAAGTGCATCTAATAAGTCACAACAGGAGGAGGAATCCCCTGTGTTACAGTTGTCTTCCTGGTTCCCCTCTCTTCCTCTGTGGTACTATAGTATTCAGTTGTCCTTCAGTGGGCGGCATTTGTTTTTCTGACCCGCTTAGCTCTCAGCCCACACTCTGATAAAACTAGCGTCCAGCTTTTAGCCTACGCAGGGAATCTCAAGAGTGTCAAGCCAAAAACCTAATATACAATCCATTGACCGCAGTTCTATAAAGTTCATTGAGTGTTTGGAGTGTAGCACAGGGGAGAAACAGTGTTGAGCTTTCTATTGAATATAACACACTGTCATGGTAGCTTTATTTTGTTTATTCAGAAATGGAGAAACTTGCTTAAAAACCCAACATATTCTCCCTGATACAGAATACAGACGATTAGTCATAAACCATACACTTCTAAATATGATGATCTAGGAGTATGGAACATGTCACAGAAATATGTTTTTGCTTGTACGATGCAAAGTGTCATTCCAAATATGTGCTCAAAGGAAACTTTATTTTAAAATTGATTTTCAATGTAGGTTCGTTTTTGGATGAATTTAAACGACAAAATGACTTGGTTAAGTTCTTAGGCTAAGAAAACGTTTTTGGTTTGGGTTAAAAGAGGTGTTTTGTTACGTGAAATAAGTGCGCTTGCTACGTAGCCGGTGTTAGTTGGGTACGGGAGTTATGTAACAAAGATAAAGTAAGTCAGCGTTGAGTTTTGGCTTCACAAAAGGTTCTAACAGGATGTTCCTTTGTGCTTGTTTGACCCTAAACTATGTTTCTCACTCTACCGTCAGTTGCTCTGACCGTTCTTATAATGAGTTTGATCATTGTAATCAGTAGAAAGTCTGATGTATCTCATACACATGCTAATGGTCAAGCTGGGAGTAAGAACTGATTACAAAAAAAAGTTGAACAATTGTATGCTGCATTTGTGTAATTTAAAATCTCTTTTATCACGCACGAGGCCCGACTGGCTATAGCTATACCTAGACATGACTGATGAAATTACAGTGAGAACAAGAAGCTAGGAACAATTATAACGCTAACCGAGACTGAAGAAATGTTAGCATTTAGCAACGGTACAGTGTAATAACGCTGTTGTTGACTTTCAGCACTTAATTAGGAGCATAAAACATTGTTTTTTGAGGCATTCCCTTTGAATACACTAACACACCCTGATTTGTTTGCTGCACACATAGTAACATTTAGATATATGACAGCAAGGCATAAACTGTCAACAAACAGAAGATTTTACCCAAAAATATCCTATGCCATGTATAACACACTGCAATAGAACACTGGTTGTTCCATTGCCATGGGAAGACTTAAAAAAAGTCCGCTACACAAATAGCTATTATTGACCTCTCCGAGATACTCTCACCATTTATCATCACAGTAAACAATGCAGTGCAATGCTTTGAGGTTTGGTACAAAGTGTACCTTGAGGCTCTTGGAAACACTTTCATCAGTTACTGGTTGATAATATCTCAACAACATAATGATATTCCTAATAGTGCTGCCATGTGGAGGGCGCTTCAGAAGAGCAAAACACAACACAGTATTGGTAAAGGCACATACTGATGAACACAAATCCTAGTTTTTTGGGCTCACACACAAACACACACACACACACACACACACACAAGCACGCACACAGAAAGTTCATCTCAATGTCCCTCCTCGACTCCTCTCTTCCCCTCCTCCGGGACTTGACCCGGAAATCGATCAAGACACGCCATGTTGAAGGACGTCCCAATCTCTTAAATGCACACAGAGGAGTCGAGGAGGGGTGAGGGAGGAGGCTTCCAGAGGAGATGAGAGCGAGGATACGTGGAAGTGTTTTCACTACTCGCAAAGCCCCGCCCCCACCTTCACAGCCTCTGCTCACTGCAGCTGATCGTACCGTTAAAGGAGGATCAGAGTCATTCAATGTTTAAAGTGCTTCTTTAAGAGTAAAATATATTAAATCTCTTAAACGAATGAGGAGATCATACTCTATAAAAACATTAAAGTGTGTGAAATATACTTACAAATTCAATAATAATGTTTTGATTATAAAATAATAACTTACAGTTCTGACTTGTGGTTTGTGATGCATGTGTGGTAGACCCACAGAACGTCAGACATTTAGGATATATACAAATACGGGTAGAATAACTAATACATATGTTAGTGATTTGTGTCTCTTCTGTAGGACAAACTAAATAACAACATCCAATACAAAAGTTGATCTGAAACAAGCTCAAATACCATAAGGAAATGAATCCATCAATTATGATTATTGTTGTGATTATAATTATAACTTAAATGAAATGTTATAGCTGGAAAAACAAATACAGGACCGAAACTAATACATAGAAAACTATAATAAAAGAGATGAATGGAAGAGATGGACGAAATCATTTCAATGAGAAACTAAATCCCAGGTTTGAAGGGATTGATGTGGAGAGTCCAGTGACAGGTGATACACTGCGCGCACCAGAAGTAAAGGGCGTTGTTATGGGGACGCTGGAGTGAACGAGGACATCCCAATTAATACCTGAGGACTCCTCTGTCCTCGCGTCTCTTCCTCGTGTCTCTCGCTCGCGTCTTACGGAGGCGGAGCTAAGACGCAAGGAAGGGACGCGCGTGAGGGAAAGGAGGAGGTGAAATATGCAATTGAGATGAGCCTACACACTGCTGGTGTCCTACCTCTGGTGTTGGTAGCCATGTCTGCCACCTTCTGAAAGGCATCCAGGAAGGCTACAGCAGCCAGAACCGTGGTTCTATAGTAACAGAAGACACTGATTACTTTAGATAAATGTAAAGGAAACTTGGAATCAGTACAGAACACAATACATACTCCATGTACGATGACAGTGTTGCATATCAAAACAAAGATGTATTTGTTATGTTTTCAAATAAACCTACCGGAGCTGGGAATGCAGCTTGGTGGCCTTGGCGCTGAAGTCCTCCCACACAGGATAGGAGCACTGCAACACACAGACAATAATACACATTACAATCCACAGATATAACATATTGATACAAAAACATACCATACTACTCAGTAGGTGAAAGGAAGGAGAGATATTAAGAAATGCCAATAAATGGGGAGAACATTTTAGGAAAGAACCAAGATGACACTGATTTGGAATTCATTAAGACATTTACTAACAAAGTAGACTGACTAACTCAAGAACTGTACCAAGGGACAATTGATGTACTTTATTATTAATTCTTATTATATATTTCCACTTTCACTGTGAAGGGGGAAATATTCTCCATGCTTACATAAATGACCACAATTTGGGGCCAGTCATACCTCAAAATGTTTACATTTTAAAATCTTCGGTAAAAGCTTAGAAACCTATCGAAGCGTCAGCTGCAGATACAAACTGAGGATGGACTTGAAGGGGCAGACCCCCATGAAGGAGAAGTCAATGTCAGGCAGTGGAACATTTTTGTAGAAAAAACATACCAGACAAACAATGCTATACATCTCTAAGGGATGTTGAATTAAAAGTGTCCCTTTTAAATATTCTCTGATTACACTCTCTTAAATGTGAGGATTTGGTGGTGTTGGGTTTCATTGTTGTGGGTAGTAAGAATGAACAGGCATTTCATATTGTCACCCTGGGCTCTAGAAAATGTGATCGTCATTGTTTCTCTGACATAATATGTAAAGCCCAATTAATTAATTTGAGAAAAAAATCTAAATAAATGTTATTATTCATCAGGAAAAGTACAAAGGAATCGGAATCCCCTACATTTGCTGGATCCTTTCCCCCAACCCTAATATTAAACTATTGTATATATAGTATATATATAGAGGAAAAACAATCCCCAAAAAAAACAAAGTCAGACATTTCTCCAGGTCTCACTCTTTGTTCCCCTCCTCTCCTGTACCTCTGTAGGTTAATAACACACCTCTTTACCCTTGTCAGCTTCTGTCATCAATTGAATTCCCCATTATCTTTCCACAAAGCACACACCCCAAACACGCTCTCTGCTCCTTACCCTGCATCTCCCCCATATGTCACACGCTCTCAACCTCTTTCTTCATACCCAAAAACTGCTTCCACCCCTCTTCTCCTTATGCAGCAGTCTAATCCATCACACACACACACACACACACACACACACACACACACACACACACACACACACACACACACACACACACACACACACACACACACACACACACACACACACACACACACACACACACACACACACACACACACACACACACACACACACACACACACACACACACACACACACACACACACACACACACACACACACACACACACACACACACACACACACACACACACACACACACCACACACACACACACACACACACACAGATCAGTTGGTGCCACTGGCATGAGGCAGCATCAAAGGCTCTGAGTAGGATTGCTAACACAATTCAAAGCTAATGGTTGCTGCCCCCACCCTCCCCCTTTAGACTGCATGCCTGCATCTATCAAACACACCCGGCCTCAGCATATATTACATTACACTTGATCAGGTTACCTATAACCCTGTTAAATAGCTGCAAATGTTGTGCATGGGGGTGGGCAGTTGAATTTATAGCAGGATGAAGTGTGCTTACAGGAACAGTAAGATACGGGAACATCTGTCCATATGAAAAAAGGAAACTTAAGGAAGTGCAGGGAATAGTGACAAATGAAAGCGAAGGAAGACAGTGATGGGGGGGTGGGGCATGTCAGACTGCCACAGACAGTAAAGTCTGTACACGCTTTGATCTGCCCTGTTTGATGTGGCTTAATTTAGTCTGAAATCAGTCCTATTTCCCCCTGGTACGGAAATCTACCCTGTCCACACACACACACACCAACACACAGCCACCAACACACACCACACCACAACACACACACACACACACACACACACACACACACACACACACACACACACACACACACACACACACACACACACACACACACACACACACACACACACACACACACACACACACACACCACACACACACACACACACACACACACACACACACACACACACACACACACACACACACACACACACACGCACACACAGGAGCAGCCTTTCATCTCATTAGTGTACCAGCCATTACATTGAGTTTTTGTGTGCATGTGTGTGTGTGTGTGTGAGTGTGTGTGTGTGTGAGTGTGTGTGTGAGAGAGAGATTGATTCCCCTTCCTTTACACGCAGGTCTTCCCCCACACACCTTGTGTTAGTATGCAGCAGTGAGGTGCCGTCACCTAGTTAACCTCGTCAGTTGGTAAACTCACTCATGTTACATCTATACTAGAGCAGCACAACCAATCAAAATTCAATCAAAATCACAATATGGGCTAGTGCAACATTTTCCCAGTAAGCGCAATATGTGTGAAAATATCTGATTATCTGCAGAGAAATCCCAGCATACAAACAGTATTCTAAAGACTTAAAGGTGGGGTAGGTAATTTTGGAGAAACCAGCTCGAGTGAGCTAGAATTTGAAAATACACAACCGGAAAAAATCTTCCACTTCCTCACAGAGTCCCTCCTCCAACACACACGAACGCGCACATGACCAATGAGGGCACGAGATAAGATTGTGCCCAGATGGAAGGCTGACAGGCAGGTAGGCCATCCAGTTACTTTAGCCGGGCCGGCTCATATGATTGGTCGTGCTTTTTACAGCACTACGGCTTCCACAGATGACATTTTTTTATGGATTTTTTGTCAAAGCACTTCAGATATTCATTGCTATCGGGATGTTAAGAGCATTCCATGGAATATAACAAAAAGTGTATCTCGAGCCGGTTTCTCAAACTTACCTACCCCACCTTTAATGAATGAATGAATAATGTTATATAATAATATCGTGAATCAATTGCAATATCAGTCAAAGAATAATTGCAATAAACTTTGCAATCTTTCACCAAAGCGCTTGTGACGTCACTGCAGAAACGTTCAGATATAAATGATCATAACAAAGATTTAAGAGCTCAATTATTTTCTTTTTTTATGATATGTATTTGGCCAGAGTGCCTTTATTGATAGAAGCAGAGTTGAAGGGGGGGGGGGGGGAGACATTGTCTAGTCGACATTGCTCCCGTGAGCCAGTTTCTTTCGTACAGGGATCAGCCCGCTTGTTCTACGGCTGTCAGACTGAGCAGTGCAGCTCATTCAACAAAGTGTGAGTTATGGTGACAGAACAATGCACCAAATTCCCCAACCCCCTGCAAGACACTATGCTGCGTGGACACAGGGCCTAAGTCTTGCAGTATTAAAGCAACCACAACACTAATATTGTACATTTGAGACTTCTATTTTCCTTTGATGACAGGTTAAAGGCCTATTTGGTGACATTGGGTAATACTATTACAAAGACAGGGCCTGTCCGTCCAAGGTGAAATATCTACTTTCTGAATCCTTCTGAAATCAGTGTGCCTTTAAGGTTATACAAGGTCCTCAGCCTCCTTGCTTTAAACTCCATAAATGTGTCTATGGCTGTGTTTGTCTCGACCAGAGAGCTGAACGACGGCCACCATAACCACTGCGCTCGCACGATTGTAGAACTGGGAATACACGGTGGCTGGGGGGCAAACACAGCAGTGTGGGAGAGACACAGTACGGGAGACAGAGAGTGTGAGAAAAAGCTTTGGGATTGTGCACTATTACATCACCACTTCCTGTGTCAAGAAAAAAGGTCAGCAGGCCATGCATGATTACCTCTCACGCACACAGACGCATACTGTATACACACAAAACCAGATTCCTCTCTGCGAGGGCGTTACTAATAAAAACCTTTTTAGCCTCCCTTGTTTTCATGCATATCAGAATCTGAGCACTGTGGACGATTAAAAAAAGGATTGTCCAGATTTTGCCGCAGCTAAACCGGCACATAAAAGACTAATAACACAAAAGGTGAAATGCACCTTTACCTGTGCTGCTGCTGTACTGTAAGCATGTGCATTATTGCACTGTGTGGCTTTAAGCAAGGCACTTGACCCCCAGGACCCTATATAGTAGCTGCCAACGGCTCCTTGTACAAATATAATGAATTGCAATGTGCTTTGTACTTGTGTGGTGATAACAAAAGTCCTGAACACCAACATAGTTGGAGCAGATACCTGAAAAACAAAGCGTCATGCAGATTTATTGTAAAGCCAACAGGAAGTCGGACATTTTAATTTAGTGTGCAATTTTGGGACAATTTATTTGCATTGACAGGTACTTGAACTGACTCCTCCTTCAAATATAATCTGATCAAATTCATGTTTGAATGTTTATTTAAATGGGAGTAGGCAAACTATGATTTCCCCTCCACTTGATCCCAGTCTTAAATCCCACAGTGTACAGGGACCCTTCCGTCTTTCCAATAATAATCCCTTATCCCCAAACCTGAGCCATATATTGACAACTTTTTCCCCTTTTCTTCCAGTAATCCTCCGTTTCATCTGGTCCTGACTCTGGACTCTGGGGTGCTGTCAACAGTCCTCTGGCCTAGTTCTCAGAGCACCACCAGTCCACCCAGTCTGCCCAGCACTCCATTGAGAGTTCCCACTCCAGCACTCACTACAGTGGATGAGAAGCTTACTGTCTCCTCTCGCTCTTTTGTTCCCTTTGTTTCCCCCACAGCAAGACAGAAAAACAGAGGAAATCCAGCGAGAGCGAGGACGGGTGGAGGCAGGCAGAGAGGGATGTAAGGATTAGCCCGATTTTTCTTTTTGTATAATGGAGCCAATTCACACGTTTAAAGAGAAATGCAAGAACCAAACAAAAGGGGCTAATTTCACAGTTCTTCATATGCATAATCGACCAACTGGGAGTTTTTCAAAAAGAGGATCACACTCATATTTATCGAGGTTGGGATGGATGTATGAGCCACAAAGAAATAAGCAGTGGCCTAAGATATTCTAAAAAATTATATTTGAAAACATAAAAAATATATATATTAAAAAAAAAAAAATGTGTTAC